CAGGAATTGATGGAATACAAATTGAAATGCTTCAACAAACTGATGCAGCACTGGAGGCACTCACTTGACTATGGCAAGAAACGTGTGACTATGGCAAGAAACGTGGAAAGCAGCTATCTGGACAATCGATATGAAGAGATCCATATTTGTGCCCATGCCAAAGAAACTTGACTCAATGGAATGGGGAAGACATCAAACAATATCATTAATATCACATACAAGTAAAATTTTGCTGAAGATAATTTAAAAGGGTTGAATCAGTACATTGACAGGAGCTTCTAGAAATTCAAGCCAGATACAAAAGAGGACATGAACCCAGGATATCACTGCTGACATTAGTTAGATCTTGGCTAAAAACAGTGAATACCAGAAAGGTGTTTGTTGTTGTTCTCAAGTGCCGTCGAGTTGATTCTGATCCATAGCGACCCTGTATAGGGTTTCCAAGGAGCAGCTGGTGAGCTTGAACCACTGACCTTGCCGTTCAAATGACTTTGCAGTCTGATGCATTAGCCAACAGTGCCACACAGGACTCCTAGAAAGGTGTTCACTTGTGTTTTACTGATAATGCAAAGACATTTGGTTGTGTGAATCATAACAAATCATAATAAACATTGTGAAGAATACATTTGTTGTTGTGGTTAGGTGTCATCAAGTCAGTACCAACTCATAGCGACCCTATGCACAGCAAAACAAAACACTGCCCGATCCTGGGCCAACCTCACTATTGTTGCCATGCTTGAGTCCATTGATGCTGCCACTTGGCCAATCCATCTCATTTGAGGGTCTTCTTTTTCTCTGACCCTCCACCTTAACCAAATATGATATCCTTCTCCAGCGACTGCTCCCTCCTGACAATATGTCCAAAGTATGAGAGACAAAGTTTGGCCATTTTGGCCTCTAAGGAGCACTCTGGCTGCTCTTCTTCCAAAACAGATCTATTGGTTCTTTTGGCAGCCCATGACACTTTCATTATTTTCCTCCAACACCATAACTCAAAGGCATCAATTCTTCTATGGTCTTCCGTAATTCATTGTCCAGCTTTTGCATGCATATGAGGTTATTGAAAATACCATGGCTTGGGTCAGGCGCACCTTAGTCTTCAAGCTGACGTCTTTGCTCTTAAATACTTTAAAAGGGTCTTGTGCAGCAGATTTGCTTAATGCAATACGTTGTTTGATCTCTTGACTGCTGCTACTGTGAGTGTTGATAGTTGATCCAAGAGCATTTCATTGTACTCATGAGGAACCTGAACATAGACCAAGAGGCAGTTGTTCAGACAGAGCAAGGGGATACTAAATGGTTTAAACAGGAAACGTGCTCCAGGGTTGTATTCGTCCACCATACTTATTCAGTCTGTATGCTGAGCAATTAATCTGAGAAGCTAGATTATATGAAGAATTTGGCATCGGTATTGGAAGAAGAACACTAACAACCTGTGATATGCAGGTTTACACAACCTTGCTTGCTGGAAGCAAAGAGGAATTAATACTTACTGATCAAAGCCTGCAACCTTAAGTATGGATTGCACCTTAATGTAAAGAAAACAAAAATCCTTACAACTAATAAACAGAAAAGATTGAAGTTGTCAAGTACTTCACTTTCCTTGACTCCACAATCATTGAAGTCAAGAAGCAGCAGTAGAAATCAAAAGATGGATTACATTAAGCAAATATATTGCACAAGACCTGTTTGAAGTGTTAAAAAGCAAAGATGTCAGTTTGAAAATACTAAGGTAAATCTGACCCAAGCCTCATATGCATGTGAAAGTTGTTCAATGAATAAGGAAGACTATAGTAGAATCAATACGTTGGAATTTTAGTGATAGATAAGAAAATTGAAAGTACAATAGACTGCCAGAAGAACAAACAAATCCGTGTTGGAAGAAGTACAGCCAGAATGCTCCTGAGAGGATGGCAAGACTTTGTCATACTTTGGACATGTTGTCAGGAAGGATCAGTCCTTGGAGAAAGCCATCATTCTTGGTAAAGTGGAGGGTCAGCAAAAAAGAGGAAATCCCTCAATGAGATGGATGGACTTAAACATAACAACTGTAAGGATGGCACAGGACCTGACAAAGTTTAGTTCTGTTGTACATAGGGTCGCTATGAGTAAGAACTGAGTCAGAACAGGCTTGGGGAACCTAACAACAATAATAACATAACACCTTAATTGGATTGTTGTTGTTGGCTTCAACTCATAGCAACCCTGTATCGGGTTCCCAAGAAGCAGCTAGTTGGTTTGAACCACACACCTAGCAGCTAGCACAGTCAGTGTTTATATACAACTTCGAGGTGGTAGTGGGGATGGCAGTGGCTGTGTGGTTATGTGCCATGGAGTTGGTTTTGACTCATAGCAACCCAGTACAGGGTTCAAGGCTTTAAATCAGAAAGTCTCATCTTGTTCTTGGGGACCGGCTGGTAGATTCGATCTACCGACTTTGAGGTTAGCAACACAGCTCATAACTCACTGTGCTACTACACTTAATTTCTGTCTCTTCAGAGTCACTTGGTACGCTGAGGAGAGATTTCTTACAAATTGGGGCTACTCACTCACCTCTGCCAAGAAATTTGGAAGACAACTATCTGGCCGACTGATTGGAAGAGATCCATATTTCAGCCCATT